TCTCTTCTCCACTGGAGGAGACCTCTTTACCCTATCTATCTCCTTTCTCTCTCCTTGTGCATCGGTCAGTGTCATTATCACTGGCAAGTCCACTCTGTCCGATCCCAGGATCCTCCTACACCTACTACTACTTGGCGAAACAGAATATTCATGTCCTATCAATCTCTCTCTCCCTCTTTTCTCATTCTCTACTATCATCTGAAGTCCTACTTCTACAACCACACCTGATCTACGCAAATGATGTAGAGCTCCAGAGCTAGTCTACCCGTTCTGTTATCGCATTAGCGTTAGCGCATTTCTCTCTTCTGTTGTTTTTCTCTCTCCTTTTTTCTCTTCCCCTCTCACTTTTATCTCACTTCATGTTCTTGTGATCTTTTCTTTTTTTCATTTCCACTTTTTCATATTTTCTTTTTATATTTTTTTTGTTTTCAAAACACACACATTTGACATTTATATTTTCTACTGGCATCTATAACTTTTCGTGTTGTGTCCATTCTCTCTTGCTCTCTGTTCATTTCCACTATTGTTTCTCTCTGTTTTTTCTTACTCTCAGATGCTTACAACTCCACAAACAGCAAACTTTGCCAGGCAGTCCATACGAATCTTTTTTCAAAAAATAAAAAGCACACGAGTTATTCCGTGAGGCTGAATTATTTGCGTAAAAAGCGGGTCAATTTCGAAAATATACGTATTCTATGAATTTCCTAGCAGTGATCACGTGGTAGACGGCTGGTGTTTGCAGAAGATGTTGCTGTTTTGATTGGCGATACCGCATTGCTAACGGTGCAAATCACGTTGGATTGTCCCGTCTTCGGTTGAATTCATTCCAGAAATCACCATTTTGAGCCACTATCCAGCTGAATCTTCAGTCTGACAACGGACATTTTTTGTAAATAATAAACATCATGTCATCGTGTGAAGAGTACGGCAAGGACAAGGTGGTCTTTNTAGCAGTGATCACGTGGTAGACGGCTGGTGTTTGCAGAAGATGTTGCTGTTTTGATTGGCGATACCGCATTGCTAACGGTGCAAATCACGTTGGATTGTCCCGTCTTCTTCGGTTGAATTCATTCCAGAGATCACCATTTTGAGCCACTATCCAGCTGAATCCTCAGTCTGACAACGGACATTTTCTGTAAATAATAAACATCATGTCATCGTGTGAAGAGTACGGCAAGGACAAGGTGGTCTTCCTGACCAAAGAAGACAGCGCCAGAGGCGAGTCCAAAATTGAGCTTAAGGACATGCCGGACGACTACAATCGTGGTCTGATCATGCCCAATGGTGACATCAACTTTGCCTGCCCTTGTCTGGGCGGCATGGCCTCAGGTCCTTGTGGGTTCGAGTTTCGGGACGCCTTTAGCTGTTTTCACTACTCGACGGCTGAAGTGAAAGGCAGTGATTGCGTTGACAAGTTTATGGAGATGCAAAGCTGCATGACAAAGTACCCGAATTTGTACTCGCAAGAGAACAATGCCATCAACCAGGATCCAAGCGGGGCAGACCCACTGAACATGAAAAGTCTCGAAATGGAAGCATCGTCTACCAACGAAACGTCAACCGAAGTTCAAACCTCAAAAGCGCAGTGATCACAAATCAATGTAAATTATCTCACTTTCTTGATTTCTTAATGTGTTTTTTTCACAATAGTTTTTGTACTTCACAATGCAATCTACTTGTAATATATACAACAATAACTAATCTTTCAGCAACTTTGATTTTTTAAAATGATCATTTCCTTGTTGCCGTTCTCTTTTGTTAGTTGTACTAGTGTATAATTTTTGTTATTAATTAAAATTAGTCTTTTTTAAATACATCATTTTAGTAAATTCATCAATCTGAATAAATTCACATCTTCAAATCCTAAGTTGAATGATTCAACTTGAATCTCAAAACTGAAATGCTNACAAATCAATGTAAATTATCTCACTTTCTTGATTTCTTAATGTGTTTTTTTCACAATAGTTTTTGTACTTCACAATGCAATCTACTTGTAATATATACAACAATAACTAATCTTTCAGCAACTTTGATTTTTTAAAATGATCATTTCCTTGTTGCCGTTCTCTTTTGTTAGTTGTACTAGTGTATAATTTTTGTTATTAATTAAAATTAGTCTTTTTTAAATACATCATTTTAGTAAATTCATCAATCTGAATAAATTCACATCTTCAAATCCTAAGTTGAATGATTCAACTTGAATCTCAAAACTGAAATGCTAATTTTTTGTAACGTCTTCTGTGAAAGGACTGAACGTTTGAATTTTTTTATTTTTTTTGTTTTGGCCGTTGATTTTCCCCGCTAATTCTTTTGTGTTTGATCTGCTCCAGATTGTTGCATTCTTATCTGCTCCTCATTAACCTTATCAACAAGATGGCCAAACTGTCGGACGATGAAATTATCAACTTTATGAAGGACATGCTTAGCTACACGGTCAAGAGGGAACAGCTGTCAAGTCCCAACAGACAACTTGTTATTGAGATTTACGCTCAGTTTTTACAAGAGTTGGACTTTGATGTCAACTCTATCACCCAACGCGACTTTATGGCTTGCGGCGATATGACCAATGTCGAAGCAATGGACGGAATCCTGGTGCCAATTCATATCTACACCATTGTCCAGCAATGTGTAGTGCACTATGGCATCCACGACATGAACTTGATGGACATTCTCTCACCTAAACGCAGTCGAACTAACAGAATCATCAGTGCTTTGTGTTTCTTTTTCTTGAGATACAGCGCAGTTAAGGTAAGTCTTTTAAACCTGATTTTGTCAACTTTTTTGTTTACACTTTGAATTTTTAGAAAGAATGGCTGCGATTGAAGAACGAAGGGCTTGCTATCCGTACTGAAATACTGCAGCTTAAGCAAAAAGATCAAGAGCTGAAGCATTTGATAGAGGAAAAGTCTATGCTTTTCACGTCACTGAACAATAACTCGGAAGCTATGGAAAAGGAGAAAAACGCTCTAATCGAGGAGAACAAAAAGAAGAAGCGCGAAAGTGACGAGAAATCAGAGCAATTCAAGTTGACGAAAACTGAGATACTTAAACTGGAAGACCGACTATGTAGCGTCAACATTGAAATCAGCAAGGGGAAAGAGGAAATCAAGCAACTGGAAGAGCTTATCATAAAGTCACCACAAAAGTCGATTCAAATTACCGCCGACATGGAAAGGGCTCTGATGGAGTTGAAGAAAGAGGTGCCTGAAAAGAAGCAACAGCTGATGACAATCAACAAAATGATCGACTGCTACAAGGCGGTCTTGACTTATCTGAAACCATCGACTGGGGACATTAGCAGTAAGTGGTCGGGATGCTTTGTGTGGTTTTGTTTACACTAACTTTTTTGTTGTTGATTTCTTCAGATTTGCTTATCATGCTCTCTTCTACCGACAAAGAATGCGAAAATTTGGAGAACATCAAGCAAGATACTTTGTCACTGAGGGAGGAAATTAAGAGCATCAAAATTAAGATGAGCGAATGCCAAAAGGCCAAACAGGGCTGGCAGACAAAGATAAACAATTGGGCAAGGCAGCACCAGCGTATTTTCGGTCAACTTGAAGGACTGAACAATGGCCTGCAGGAGTCAAAGAAGAAGAAATCGGAAGACATTGCCAAGTTGCAGGGCCAGAAACAGTGGGTAGAAAAGGCATTGAAGCAGCTTCAGAATACTAATGACAACCTGGACAAGGACTTTCAGGAGATTGAGAAGCGCTATACCGATACAATTTCCAAATATAAAGAGGAACTCATAAAGCGCTTTTAAATGACTCAGGATCACACACATCTTTTGTAAAAACTTTCATCTAATGTACATTATATTATATTTAGACATTTTCACACACACTTTCATCCCGGTTCAGATTTTTTGATTAAAAAACATTCTTTTGCCGCCCTTAAGTCGCTGCCGTAAGATGGCGAGACGGTAGTATTTCAAAAGNAGGAACTCATAAAGCGCTTTTAAATGACTCAGGATCACACACATCTTTTGTAAAAACTTTCATCTAATGTACATTATATTATATTTAGACATTTTCACACACACACTTTCATCCCGGTTCAGATTTTTTGATTAAAAAACATTCTTTTGCCGCCCTGAAGTCGCTGCCGTAAGATGGCGAGACGGTAGTATTTCAAAAATCTTTCTGGCGCCAGAACTTGGCCCCAGAAGGGGTAGCCAGTGGTGGTGAGGGCGGCAGTGGAACGGTGCAGTTTACATTCTGCTGGCAGACTGCTGCTTCGCAGTGATAATGTCAGAGGGATAGGAATTCGGGCAGCTTCGTGTCAGGCGGAATTCTGCAGTGCATGTGCTGTTGTACCCGCAGGCGAAGTGCACACTCACTTCGGTGCTCACTGTCACTGCTGCTGCTGCTGCTGCAATTCTCCCAGGGACCAGAGATTGACAGCGGTGCAGTGGTCTCAGTGGCGTGCGCCTACTGTACGACGGGTACGACTGGGGACAACTGTGGTACTGGGCCTCGGCANAAGTTAAAATGAAGGCAACTACTGTGAGAGAGAAGGAGAGAGACAATGCTCAATGGCATCAATATCTCTCTCTCTCTCTCTCTCTCTCTCTCTCTCTCTCTCTCTCTCTCTCTTTCCTTCTCTTACGATGGTCGATGCAGCTGAAGCAGTGGCGGCAGGAGCAACAGCAGCAGCAGCATCATCGTCATCACCGTGAGCAGCAGCAGCAGCAGTGGCAGTGCAGTGCACCCGGAGAGTGTCGGTGAAGTGCATCGCGCCACGAGACACTGCTACTCTCTGCCCAGAAGGCGTGCCAGCCAGTGCACAGGCAGGAGCGCTCTGCCGCCGCCACTGGTTACTGACGGTGTCCCTAACCTATAGGCAGCGACGGTGGAGCTGGAACGGTCAGAGGCGTGCCACACTGTGCCTGCACTGTGCACTGGCTCTGTGCTGGCGCTCACTGCGCCGCCGATGGCACATCAGCGACGAGATGGCAACGAAGAATGGTGCTGGCCTGACAGCAGAGTCAGTCGAGTCGTGCTCTGTCTCAGTGTGTCCTCTCTCCTCTCGCCTGTCGCTCACTCTCGGTCGCTCTCTCACTCTGCTCTGTCGACTGTCAGGCGAAGCCATTTGGCAACTAATCAACTGACGAGCGCGCCATCCATTCATCAAGCCTGTCCATTCGTCAATGACCACTGAAGACACGCTGGAGCAACTGTGGGCCTAGCTGCCACGCCACACTTCACCACACACACTCACTCAGGCTCACTCTTCCGCCAGGCAAATCCCCCTACCGACTATAATGCAATAATTAAGTTAAGCAAGGCACCATCTAAGGCATCGGCATCAGCACGAGCAGCAATCCACGTCCTGAGCAGTCTCTGCCGCATCAGCTGGCTGCGCATCGACTGTCCATCATCACAGCTGTCTTCAGCTGTCTCAGGCAACGGCAACCACCAACAGCTTCCCTACCACCACCACCACCACCGTCAACAGTGCCATCACCATCAGCAGCATCAGCACTACTACCATCCTCGTCAGTGTGTCCGTGTCAGTGTCAGTGTGTCGCCTAATCAGGTGATTGTCATCTTCGGTGTCATCTTCATCCAGTTGTCTTTCCTCTTTCAATCTCTTCCTTCCTCTTCACTTGTGCTTCTCAGGCGTAGTGATCCGTGCGCTTACCCTCACGCAGTTCTTCTCTTGTTGTCAATTATTATTACCACCACCAATCTATTCATCTCTGAATGTCGGATCATTTATCCTGATCATCTGTTGTGTTCAGTGTTCACTTTTGTATTCATTCTTTCTCTTGTGATTACCACCACCTCCACTTCATTCACCTCGGTCTCATCAGCACCTGCACCTAGTTTTTCCCTTTTCCAATAAAAAAGCAGAGCCGGAGAAGATGGCTCACAAGGTAAGCAGCAGCCTGGTGGCGGAGGAATCAGCCTCGACGGTCTCCATCAGCCGCCACCAACACCGCCAACTAATCGACCTCGTCTGTGCCTCGCAGTACGAAGACGGCTTCTACGGAGGCATGGATAACCCCTACTCGATGGGCCTCTCCTCGGGCCACGGCGCCCACCTCAACCACGCCGCACCTCCACCGCCGCCGATGCACAACTCCTACCATGGGGCGAACAATCACGTCATGTCCAACAACGTCATGGGAGCCATTCCTGATGTTCACAAGCGAGACAAAGATGCAATTTACAGGTACGGCACATACGCGCTCACAAACACACTCAAACACGCTCATGCAGACGCACTGCGCTGCCTTGACTGTGCTTCTGCAATGTACAACAAAAACACCGCTCTTTTCATCGTCGTTGTCGTCGTCGTCGTCGCATCGTTGCATTACACTGACACTGCTTTGTCTCTTGCACCACCACCACCACCACTACTACTACGACCATCTCTGCTTGGGTGATCGCCGCATCAATGTTTACAGCTCCCCAGAGCAGTTGTCCATTGAACGGCGACCTCAAACGAGATGGTGTTTTGCTCGCCGCCAATGTTCACTGCCCAGCCAGTGTGTGTGTGTGTGTTCGAGCTGATAGCCAGCTTGATCTCATTGCCTCTCACTATCTTCTGGGCACATAATATTTGGCACTGTCACAGACACAGNTGTTCACTGCCCAGCCAGTGTGTGTGTGTGTGTTCGAGCTGATAGCCAGCTTGATCTCATTGCCCACTATCTTCTGGGCACATAATATTTGGCACTGTCACAGACACAGACACATACACATACACATACACATACACATACACACGCACTCACTCGATACCCCGTCGGTATCGCACCGAACAGTCTTTGTCGGCATTAGCAGCAGTATTCAGATCACACAGGCTAACTTGCTCTGATCAAGTGCAAACTGCGCCGGGCGCGCGCGATCAGGCGCCGCTCGACGCCGCTCTACTGCGATAAGGCACAGATTATGTGTGTATGTGTGTCCAACATTAGCTGAAGAACATGTCGAACACAAATGGAGATAGCGCCTTCTCGAGACAGGGTCACCAGACAGACAGACAAAGCAAGAGAGGAGAGACAAACACCAGGCGATTGTGACATCAATCCCGGAATTGAGACATCGAAGTGGCATAAACAAACACAGTTCCCAGACATTAGGCTGGCCAGTGTTTTGGTGCAGTGACCAATGCGATGATGACGATGACGATGACGATGACGACAATGATGGCAGTGTTCTACTGTTTACCAACAATTGTTTCGTGGTGTTTCTAAATCCACTAACCTTCTCTCTTCTCCCCCACAACAGTCACCCACTCTTTCCTCTATTGGCATTGATCTTTGAGAAATGCGAACTAGCCACCTGCACTCCACGTGAACCAGGCTCCACCGGCGGCGACGTTTGCTCGTCCGAGTCTTTCAACGACGACGTGGCTGCATTTGCCAAGGCCGTAAGTACCTATCTTTCTCGTAGACCACCTCTTTGAGCCCATTCACTAATTGATTTTCCCTCCTTCCTAATGACTAGGCTCGTGACGAGAAACACTACTACGTTCCCAATCCCGAGCTCGACAGTCTGGTAAGTCTAATCCTCAGTCAGGCACACCTCACCTGAACACACATCGCAAACGCATCGAAACAACAACAACAACAACAACAACATTCATTCAACAATCATCATCACAACAATCACCACCACTCACCAATCTTCCTCTCCTTCTCTCTCACACATTTTAGATGGTGCAAGCAATTCAAGTTCTCAGGTTTCACCTCTTAGAGCTCGAAAAAGTAAGTGACCCTCTTCGACCATCTTTTTGACCGCAAGACACTTGTGCTTCCTCCTCCTCCTCTTCCTCTTCATCTGCACCCTTGTCCGTCCATTACTACGGCTCACTCGTTTAGCGGCAACTAAAAGTAGCAATTGCTGCCACTGTGTAAATCGATGGCAAATAATAATAATAACGCCCGAGCACTTTACCGAGCGCTGCGGCAGTGCATCATTCGAGCACTTGAGCGCCTTTGTCGGACGAGTAACTGTCCCTTGGCCAGTGCTGCTGCAGTGGCAACTGGGCACCGCACTCGCTGGCTCGCTCGCTCGCGTCAGCTCCTCAGCGCCTCATTAAGTGGTGCCTTCTGCCAATTTACGTCAATCAATCGATTGTCTTGTGGTTGTTTGACTTGTCTACTCCTCGAACTGTTGCCCATTAGCGTAGCCGCAGTGAGTGTGCTGCATGGACAAACAAAGATTCCACAATGCTGAGGTGCTAGCAGCAGTTGCAGTTGCAACTCGGCGTCGTCTTCTCCTTCGCCGTCCAGTCCCAGCAGCTGATTAGTGGTCCACTGGCAACAACAACAGCAAGCACAATTCGATCTCTTCGAAGCTGTTGTACTGCAGTGCACTGCTCACACAGACACACTGTGGCGGCTGTCTCTATTATTACGGTGGCCAGTTTGCTCGCCAGCCTCCTTTGTTGGCGATGTTCCGCATAGTTTGACACCGCACACTGGCGCAGCACTGACATCTCCCATGTTGGTTCACCCGTGTTCTACTGCTGCTGCTGCTGCTAGCTCGCGCGCCAAGGCATTCATTATGGGAACGGTGGAGATGCACAGACAAATGCAGAGGACACTGAGATAGAGAGAGAGAGAGAGAGAGTGCAAACCGTGGCGGCCATTCGCACCGTCGCAACTCCACTATCGACTGCCTATAATTTGTTGTTGGCCTGGCACACACCGAGGTTTGCAGTTCCACGCTGCTGCTGCTATCTCCTTGTGATCTGTTTGCACTGATGCAGCACGGAAACGAGCCCGATAACAAGGTGCTGCTTGCCTGCCTGGATGGTTGGACGGATGAATGGATGGTTAGATGCAAGGTTGAGACCACTTGCGAGAGCACATGCACAGAGGACCATTTGTTGCCGGTTTGCCTCGCACACTCACTGCTCACCAGCCATCCTCGCTAGCATTTGCAGATTGAGCCAAATTGGCACTCTGTTTACTGTTTGCTCTTCTTCTCTTTGGCTTTTCACTGCAAAGAGGGCGAAAGCAGTACTTGGTGAAGAGCAGAACACAGAGATAGACTTTGCAAGCAATGCTCTCATATTTTATCACTTGATTAAAGCGACAATTGAATAGAATCGCCAGGAGAGCGAGAGCAGCCACCGAAGTGTAGACAGTGGTAATGGTCGGTCTGAGCAGTGTTGCCGGCCTGCAAGCTATGATTTGCACTGAGCACACTTGTGCACTCATTGCCACTTCCATCGCTCTCTTCGTTGCCTCTGAATTGAATGGCGTCCAATTGAAGTTCAATTCAGAGCTGGCGAATCGATTCTCACCCAGTTGGTGGAAACGAGCTTGTTAGTGAGCAGTGCTCAATACGTGTCGATTGGCCTGCAACGCCTAACCTATCATTTGCCGAGTGTTTCCATCTTCTTCCTCCTCTGCTTGTTCCACTCTACTCCACATCTCATCTCATCGCATTACTAACTAACTCCCGGTCTTCACTCTACTTCTCTCTCCCCTACCCACTAACCACTTCAGGTTCACGAACTGTGCGACAACTTTTGTCAACGCTACATCAGCTGTCTGAAGGGCAAAATGCCCATCGACCTCGTGATCGATGATCGCGACACTAAACCCGACCTCGGCGACAACAACAACAGCTCCAGCAACGGAAGTGGTGGTCCCGGCGCCGGCATGGGCGGTGCCAGCAATGGAGGTCGTGGCGGAAGTGCCGACCCAGGCCACCACTCGGACAGCGCCTCTACACCCGACCATCAGGTGAGCAGAACAGTCCTTTCTTCCTTTCAGCCATCTTTTTCCTCTTTTCCCTTCTACTACTACAAATGCAACTCGTCAGTCGCACTCACTCACTCATTCAAAGTTGATAGGAAAGTTCTCAATGAAGCTATTATTGCAGCAGCAGTACACCTAGTCAGCGACAGGAGCAGTAGTAGCGCATTTGAATGGAAAGCAAATCAAATTTTTGCGCAAACAAATTGCCCGTTTCCTCCACTGTAGTGTGCGTTCCTTCAGACTGTTTTAGAGTGCCATAAATTAAGTTTACAGCATTTTTATCAAATTAAAAGCCAGGTAAACATAGCTGGGGAGAGTGAGAGAGAGCTCTATTTGCTCACCGCCGTCTGAGCACTGCTGCCAACACATCGCGCCTTGTCCCCTCCACCTTCTTCGGTGTGTTTGTGAGCACTGTCGCACCGCACTCTGTCTGCCTGTGTGCACAGAAAGTGTCACTTATCACCCGATAAGACCAGAGCAGAGTAGCTTTGCAGTTGGCTCTCTCTCTCCCTCTCTCGCTTTCTTATCGTTCGCCAGGTCACCCTGGCCTTTGTCTCTCCAGTCTTGCTGGTGATGATGATGATGGTGGTGGTGGTGATGTAGTGGCTTATGAAATGCCGACCAGTGTGTGTGTGTGTGTATCGGTGGCATTTCCAGGCATTGCGGCAGTTAGCACCAGTACAGCAGCATCAGCAGCAGCACCAACCAGGACGACCACCGCATGAGCATCGTACACACACTGCAAAGTGCATCACTTCAGCGCTTGGTCGCACGAAAAATCGGTCTGGTGCGAGTTAATAGAATAATAAAGTTTATTGCACCACTTACGGCCATTACGGACCGGTCATAAAGCGAGAGTGTGTGAGCCCAAAAAGCAGAAGCAACAGCGGCAGCAACTGAATACAACTACGTGCTGCCGACACAGTAGCCTGGTGTGATCAGCCTCTCTGGCCGCCGAAGCAGCCACCGGTTGCATTTTTCCTCAGTTTGCAAACGTGTGTATGTGTGTGCTTGTGTGTGGTTCCACACTTGGTGTTTGCATGGCGCAGCGTCGTCCACTCGCTTATCACCAGTGGCTCTTGTAACCAGGGCGCAATAAGAGGTCGCAGGGAGAGAGAGTGATGGCAATAAATCGCCGAGCTGCGATAAATGCTGACACAAAAAATAAACAAGACACCGGTGTTCATGCATGTTTGTGTGTTTGTGTGTGTGTGTGTGTGTACGACAGCATCAACAGTGCTACAATAAAAAAAGCGAGAAAAAGAGAGAGGCACACAGTGTCGGTAATAGATTTATATTATTAATGTGCTCAAATTAGCACCACCGATCGCCGATTGCTCACATTTTGCCTAGCATCAGGTGTGCATATGAGGAGTATCGGCAGCACTACCGGACACGGTAGAAGCTACTCCTTGAGGAGAAGAGGGAAAACAAACAGTGCATTTGCCCACTTGGAGCACTTGGCAGCAGTAGTTACAGTAGTAGCTGCAAATGTACCGAAGCATCTGAGAGGGCCTCATGGCGACACTCACAAAGACGCCGACAAAATAGGCGAAATTGTATTTCTTGCCACTCTGGGGACTCTATGGTACTGCTCGATTAGAACTAATGAACTGCCGCCTGGTCTTCCAGTCTGCCCCTTCATCACTGCCACAGCGACGGCATGCGGCATGGGGCAATAAATCAGATGCTCTCACACTTGCCAGTTCTCCAGTTGGCCTTTATGCTACTGTCTTGGCAGATTTGGCCGCCGCTACCGCTACCACCACCACCACTACCATCAACAACAACAACAACAACAACTTTGCCAAGAGAGTGCTGCAAGTGCCATTGAAAGAAAAAGAAAAAGAGCCGCACTGGCTCAGTCGTCACTCTCACTTGACGAGAGTTAACCTTTCCGATTGATTGGCTCCATTCTCGGCGAATGTGTCGCCGGGCACTCACACACTCGCACACACTCACATAAACAGAGGCAGGCAGGCACTTATCGCGTTCACGGCAACGGCCCATCACTCAGTCAAAGCTCCCCCCTTTTCCTCGTTGAAGTTAAAGTTGAAGCTGACAATTTGCAAGCCTCAATCCACATATGATACTTTGCCACCTTTCCATATTGACGCATTCTCGCGTCCGAGGTATGTTCAGCTGCAGCCGGGGCAGTAAGTGGCGCTTCTGCCAGCAGCAGCAGTTGAGCGAGTGCACCATGCACATCACNCCACCTTTCCATATTGACGCATTCTCGCGTCCGAGGTATGTTCAGCTGCAACCGGGGCAGTAAGTGGCGCTTCTGCCAGCAGCAGCAGCAGTTGAGCGAGTGCACCTTGCACATCAANAAGCTCCCCCCTTTTCCTCGTTGAAGTTAAAGTTGAAGCTGACAATTTGCAAGCCTCAATCCACATATGATACTTTGCCACCTTTCCATATTGACGCATTCTCGCGTCCGAGGTATGTTCAGCTGCAGCCGGGGCAGTAAGTGGCGCTTCTGCCAGCAGCAGCAGTTGAGCGAGTGCACCATGCACATCACTGCGCTGCAAGTGCCGATGGTCGCTGCTGCAGCATCTCTGACCATGTTGCGCCAGTCGTTAAGCTTTACCTGGAGAAAATTGCCTTCAATTTAGTCTGAACTGCTGCAGCAGCAGCAAGTGTTAATAGGACGAGGCAGGAGAACAGTGTGGCAGCAAGGAGTCGCAGAGGACAGCTAGGATAGCTAGAATGCAAGCCAGTTGCGTGCTCATCTGCTGCTGATGGTCGTACCTGGTCAGGTTTGCCCGTCGGCGTTCAGCACTGTGCTTTATTTCGCGTTCGCCCTCTCTCACTCCAAGACCGTCACAGTCTTTCTCCTCAGCTGTGGCCATTCTCTCCCTCTTTCTCTTGCTAATAATCGTTTCGTTCACCGTAGTGGTGTGTGGACCCTTCTCGGCGCGCGGCTGGTGAGCTAGCTCTCTTTCTCTTCGCCACATACACTTGCGAATTTTTGTGACTGTCTTCATAATTTGATCAGAAACAAGTTGCCCGTGTGCTGTTTGTGTATGTGTGCAACTCTCTCTCCTAAAAAGAAAGAGAAGCAGCACAACTGCTACGGCCACCGCTGAAGAAAAGAAAGAAAGAGAGAGGTACACCGGGATACAAAGCTATGCAGCAGAAGAGAGAGAGCGAGAGAGAGAGAGTGGAAGCAGCAAGACAAACGATAACACGGCAGAAAAGAATAAAATTTTAATTGTAAAGCCAGCCACAGCGAATTATATTTGCTTTCTTTTCTCCTCTCTTCTCTTTCTCTAACTTGCACATACATTCAAGAGCAACTCCAACTGTGGCAGCGTCTTTAATTGCAATCGAAGGCAATTTTGGCAAAAGCAGTGAGTGAGGGAGAAAGAGAGCGAAAGCGGTTGACTGTGTAGAGTGAGGTGCCTTTCCTGGTCGACGTACCTCAGCTCGCTTGTTGCCCGCATTCACTGCCAATTGCCATCTTTTTGCCTTCTGTCTTCGCCATTATCAGCACACATCTCGCCCAGTGAGATGAGGTGGTAGAGTGCAGGACAGAGCTAGCCAGCCAGTGCTACTTCCAGGCCACCTTTGGTCGAGTGTTCTCTCTCACCGAGGAATGTTCGAATGAGCAGCAGCAACAGCTGAGCACCTGAACTGAGCGATTGGTCCCGGTCCGTGCCCTGTGCCTATCTGACCGACCATCTCTGAACGACTGGCTACAGTTTGCTAATGAGTCTGCGACGGTGGCAGGGCAGTAGCCAACGGGTTACACCGTCACCACTCATCTTATGATCAGTGGCCCCACGGTGCTCACGTGCACTCTCTCTCTTTCTGGCTCTCCCCTCTGAATCGATATTAATTTGCCATTGCCAATTTACACACTTGTCTTGATAGGCTAATTATGATCTCCATTGCCGATAGATTTATGGTCTCTTTGCTGGTTCGCTGGCTGACTAGTTGCCTCTCTGTCTGTCACTTATGCCCTTCTTCACCAGTTATTTTCATTGCGATTCATCTGCATTGCAGTGGCCCAGTGCAGCAGTCTTCTTCAGCAGCAGGCAACAATTTGCCCCTGCAGAAGCTCTTCCTCTCTATCTCTCATGTCCACTTTTTATTGTGTGCAATAAAATTTGTGTGTGTCTGCTTCCTCGTAGTGGTCTACTTGGGCGCAATATATCGAGCAAGAGCACCAGTTTGCAGTTTGCCCATTCAGAGAGGAAAGAGGACTGCTGTTGTTTGTATTGAATGAGCGATCTTCGAATAAACACGTAATTACATCTGTAGCACTTCTCACTTGCTTTTCGCTTGTGTGATTACTGTGTGCGTAGTATTGCCCAGTGTTCAGTGGCCGCCACTAATTGATGTATTTATGACACTCAAAAGTAACAATTTGCCTGACAAGTGCCACACACGAGTTCAATACTTAAATGACAATAAAAATTTGCCCCGCTCTCTTTGCTCACAAGTGGATCGAGTGAGAGTGAGAAATGGATAACTGCCGAGCTGCGAAGCTTCAGCCGACGATGTGAGCACGTCGCAGCAGTGGCTGTCTGTTTCGGTTTGTCTGACTGTCTCTTTGGGTGATTCAATTAAGAGCAAGCCAACCCGAATGAGTACACTCCATCGACTAGGCAAACATGGCCAACAGTCGACGAGGAGCACGTTCGCTCTTGCAGTGCCACTTGTTGGCTCACCGTCTGTGCCTCTCCATCCACTCTGTGAAGACTAAAACATTGCTGCTGAAGCAGTTTTGGCTTCTTCTTCTTTTTTTCTTCTTCTTCTTCTCCTTTTCCTCTCACACTCAGTTGCTGTCTTCACTCAGTTGACTCGGCTGCATTAATTATAATTATGACTATCTGCAAGCATGCGAGCATTGTGCGACCGACTGCGCCAGTGGCTAGTAACACTGCTACTCGCTCACTCTCATTGCCAATACTCTCAGCCGCTTAGCACCGTCTTTGCTCGCTCTCTCTCTCCCTCCCTTTCTATCAGGTTCCTCTTGA